AGGTGCAGGGAGAGCAGGACCGGACGGCTTGCAGGCCGCGCGCGCCCTCCTCGCTGGCAGCGGGTCTGGGGGACCCTGTCCGAAACCCCGCGAGGGAGGGCCTCGCAGGCAGCGGCCTTTGCAAGGACAGGAAGCCGAGAGCAGCGAAGGCCAGTTTGTGGGCCCCCTTGGGCCTCACGTGTACTGGAGGGCACCTAGTGTAAGATGTCTTCTGCTACAAGCCAGTACCTTCGGCAGGTGAATGCAACGGAGGTTGCTTTAAGTTCAGGTGGTGGCCACAGAACTTGTCACTTCCTTTCCCTAGGATTTCACGTTTAGCGGCATCTGCCGGGTGACCTGCCTTTACGGCCAGGTGCAGGTGTTTGGCTTTGCCATCGGCCAGGGCCAGCCTCCCCAGGATGTCTACTCCACCTACACCCACTCTCGCCTGACCATCAGCTCGGTTCATTACTTACTGCCCGAGAAAAGCAAGAAGGAGATAAAAAGGGAAGCCCGGACTTTGCTCCGACCTCATCTTAACCGAGGTAACGGGAAGAACTGCTGCTTTCTGAGGGCGCGGGTTGTAGATGCTTGCTGTGGTTTAGATTTGCACACGTCACTGGCCCTGTCTCATTTTGGTGTTTAAACCCCAATCCAGCAGCCTGTGCTGGGGGGTGAGGGGGGTGGGGGAGCTCTGCTGCCTCTTGTGGGTCAGCCCCTGGCCAGGGATGGAACCTACTCCTACAGGGATGGCCTCAATCCCAAGGCCACCATGGAGGCCCCCCACTGTCTCCGTGTAAACCCTCGCCAGAGTCCTGCGAATGGATCTGTTGTTCTCACGTTTTTATGTGAGAAAAATGACCCAAGGTGATTGCTGGTGGGTGACAACTTGCCATTGCTAGTGGGTAGCACACTCCTTCACCTGTACTGCTGTGTACGTGACTTCCCGAAAAAGACTCGCAAACATGATTGCTGTTTTCGAAAAGCTTAACCTTTTAGCTGAGGCGGCCGTAGTCCTGACGGAGGCAGAGAATTGAACGGAGACCCTCTCTCAGGTAGACTGTCTTTCTCTTTGTAGATGACAGGTGTTGGGCGATGAAGAATTTTTCTCCTCTGTGTTCTATTGTACTGCTAGAACGACTGAGAAGCTCCACCGTGAACTTCATCAACAGCCATCCAGGCTTGTCTTATATTTTCTCACAAGAGGTAAAACCAGTTTTCAATCAGAATTTAGCTAGCTGCAGTTTTCTTTTTTGAAAGATGTATTTCTTGAAAGATTTTTTTATTTATGCACACAAGAGCTGGGGTGTAGGCCAGAGGTTGGGGGGAAGGGTGAGAGATTCACCAGAGACAGAGGGGGGAGCAGAACAGCCAGATCCATAGCTGGAAATACACTGCTGAGGGGAGCAGTAGGGAATTGCGCCCTGCGGGTCACTCCCTGGCCGGGGATCGAACTCATGCTTCAGTGGCGCCCATGGCTTCCTAGTGCTGGCATTCACCTGTGCGCCAGCAGGGGCCTGGCCAGCAGCTGTTCTCCCCAGAAGTCTTAGCAGCTGGCTGCGGGGAGCGCCCTAGGGGCTCGTCTGCCGTGTTGTGCTGTGGCCGTAAGGAATGGAAGGTGGGCACAGTCAAAGCATAGAAAGGTCTGCTGTGGGAGGTGTGCCAGTCCGCCCACCCTGCTCAGCTTCATCCCCCAGAAAAGACACCATGCAGATTGTGGTTGGTGAAACTGCTCTTGGCATTTTTAAAATGATTGATGGTATACATTTCCTTTAAAGATTTATTTACTTGTGCATCCAGAACTGGGGTGCAGGCCAGAGGTGCAGGGGCGGTGAGAGGAGTCGCCAGAGACAGAGTGGGGTGCAGGACAGGCCGACTGATGAAGTCCATTGCTGAGGGGAACAGCGGGGAGACAGGAGAGGTCTGCGGTGCCCTGTGGGTCACCTCCGGGGCGGGGATCGAATTCACACTGAAGCGGCTGTGGCCAGCTTGCAGCACTGTGTCCTGACCCTTTTCGCCACCAGTTTGGGGAGGCCTAAACTGAGTAATTTTTTACTCGTGTTTTCTCCCATCGTCCTAATGCCCTCAAGTCGGGTTCTGGTGAAGCTGCCTGCTGTGAGCCGTCAGTGGCGTGTGGTCTGCGGGGTCGTGGGCAAACGAGATGTAGGTGTGAGCAGGAATCAGGCCCGGCTGCATGGGTGTAAGGTGTTGTGTTCACGCAGGATGGGCGCAGGAGGTGCGGGTGAGGCCTGCGGACATCCAGTTGGGATGTCACGTGGGCAGCCTGGGGCGTGAACCTGACTAGAGAGGCCTCCGGCTGCCACGAGGGGAGACAGGCCCCCTGGGGAAGTGGGTGGAAATGGGGAGGTGCCCGGACGCACGCGGGCACGTGCAGGGCGGAAAGGACGGAGCGGAGTGGCTGAGCGGAGCCTGGAGTGAGCGCGGCCGGCAGAGTCGCAGCTGTGCCAGACGCTGCTCCGGAAGGTGAGGCCTGAGGAAGGCGCGTCTGTCGGCGGCCGGAGGAGGGTGTCCATCGACTGGGGCTCGGGGGTCAGGCTCGGGGAGCCCAAGGGTAGGGCAGTAGGGAGTTTGCTTTGGGCAAGGGAAGGAAAGCGCGTGCCGGGGGCGGA